ATTGAACAGAACCAGTGGGACCCCACTCAACATACCCTTCCAGCTCAATTGTGAACCATTGATAACTACTGTCTGAGAACAGTTTTCCAGCCAGTAGTGCACCCATTTTATGGTAGGTTCATCTAGGCTATGTTTTGTTACTTTGTTTATGAGAAGGTCATGAGAGACAGTGTCAAAAGCCTTACTGAAGTTGAGATAGGATGATATCTACTACTTCCCCCCATCCAAAATATGTGTTATCCTGTCATCCGAGGAAGCTTCATACTGAATAGATATGCTGCAGAAAGCACCCCAAATTTCTGTGCTCTTTGAAGGGCCACTGCTGTTTCTCGGGGCATTAAAAAGATAAAGAGCCCTTCAGTACAGGACTGGTGAAATCAGAAATATAGGGGCGAGGAGGTGGGGGAAGCAGAGCAGAAATTACCCTATAGTGTTCTCTGTAAATAATAGTTTCTGGTCTGCCTCATCAGCTTGTCACTGAAAAGTCAGTGTTTGTTAGAGCAGGTAGGCCTGTAATTAGAATACACCATTATCAGCTTACAACATGCACTATTGGGGCAGCCCTAAGAAGGCCGTATAATGGTTGAAGGACTGTAGTGTAACTCAAGAAACTCCATTGGTGTACATTTTCACATAGACATATGGTAACACTTACAAAAGTGCCTCCGTGACTTAGGAGCCTGTGTCCCATTTTCAAAAGTGACATAGGCATGTAGGTGCCTAAATCCCATTATCTTTCAATGAGTCTCAGGTACCTAAATACCTGAGAAAGCTCCTCCTATTGAAATCCTGTTTCTCCCTCCCCCTTGCTTTAAATACGCATTGTTTCCTGTGTCACTTAGGCACTTCATATACTTCGTTTAAAATTTGTGGGATTCTATTTTTTCATGTCAAATGCTTCAGTCCCAATGCTTTATTTCTTCTTAAAATACTCCCAAAATCATTTTGTTACAGCCTGATGCTTATTGGTAACCTAGTAAGAAACCAGTATGCATATGCAGTGGAGGGGGAAAAAACTGGTTACGAAACACTTCAGGTTTCCAAGACGTTATTGTGAACAGTGAGTAAAAAACATATATATGAAAACTACTTCGATAGAATCCTTTTTGGTTACATACAGATTATTGCATGACGCGAAAGTTCTGTACTTGAGATAACATGCATCTTTTTATATTAATCTCATAAATGAGTGAAATCTATTACAAACTTCATCACTGTTAACTAGGTAACAGAGTTGGTGCAGTCTTCATTGCAACCCCAGTCATTACATGTATGAGGAGTGTACTTCACTATTTTCTTGTTTCATGATAGATGAGCTCCCTAGAGTATAAGACGGGTTCTGAAAATATACTTCCCTGACAACACTGCATTATCACTCCTGCATTGGATTAGAACATAGGATACATCTAATTTTAGTTCTGAGGAAGGACAATTTCTGCAAAGATGGACCAGAATTGCTTTTCTTTACCTCCTATTCCAGCTACCTCATTTTCTTGCTTTCCTCTGTTTGTGATTTCACTCAAAATTCCAATGTCTCCTCTATAGTTGCCAGCATTTGAAACTTTTTCCCAGAGGATGTTCTCTGAAAAAGACAAGGTTTAGGAGCCTCCCTACTGGAGGGATGTGTGTCCCTTTTGCTGAATTTTAAATGAGGTGTTTTGTGTATATCTTAATTATTGGGAACTCAGAACCTAAAAGATTTTGAATGAGTTATTAAAAATGTCCTCTCCTACCGGGGGGTGGGGGGGAACTATAGAAGTGAAATGGGAGCCATCACTTCCTATATTTGCAGCCCTCTATTTATTCCCTTGTGTTGCTGCATGATGCTTCATTGAAAGGGCACAACGATGTAAACTGATATGTATGACAGCAGTGGAGCAATCCCAAAGATTCAGCAGTTGGATCAGTTTAGAGACATATCCTCAAGGCTTAGCTGAATCTGCAGAGAAACCTCTCCAGAGGAGATTCATGTGACCTTCCCATACACTGCCAGTGGTTTCCCCTACTTGTTATTGTTCTGAAGACTGAGAGAGGATTATGGTAGCCTTCTACTCACACACTGGGCTCTTCTTGATCTTTGAGGGGTATTCTATCCTTCTCTCTTTCTCTTGTACCCACTGTGGTGCTTCCTCTACCACCACCCTACCCAGTTTTCTCCCACCCTGTCATGGGGCTTATCAACCTGCCCTGCTTTCTCCCCTTTGCACTCTTGCTCTTTACCACTTCCCTAATGGAGGGGAGTGGAGCATCAGCTTCTGGTGAAGTCAGACACTGGTAACTCCTTTTATATCCCTCCCTCCCAGCTTGCAATGCTGCCTGTGCTATGCTGTGAAGCAGAGTCAGAATTGGAAGTGGGGCAGCCCTAGTAGGGGATCAGGGATAGACTGCCTCGGAAGCCTGCACTGCAGTCAAAAATAATGTGCTCCTGCCATCTGGGATGAGCATCTGCATGGAAAGCACATCTCAGTCTCTGCTCCACAGGGTACAAATCCATATTTGGAATACCAGAGGAAGAAGCTGGTACTGTCTCAGGCAACAGCAAAGTGTTGTCAAGAACGACTTTTCTTTCGCACTTTCCTTAATTGGTTTGTTTTAATTTCCTGCATAGTTCTCACTCTCTGCAAGTCTTTGCTTCCCCTCACCTGCTCTGTTCTGAGGTGATAAGTGAGCCCAGAAAATAACTTCATTCTTGGGTCTCCATAGTGTCACCATCAACTTTCTGCTTAGGGGAGCTGTACCTATTCCCTTTAAAGTCCATCCACTGTGTCTTTAATTTGCTGGAGACTATGTTCCCCGTTTCTCTATCTCACATTTCACTCCCTGCGGCCCCAGCCTAGGGAGTGAGAATTCAAGAATGAAAACAGATGTGGATCTCCTGTAGAGGGCACTGCAACAGGTAGGATTTTTATTATTTGACAACACTACAGGGAAGTCTTGAAATTCAGAGACCTGATCAGCCAGAAGGTTCACAGAGAGCAGAAATGTATGAAGTAAATGAACTTTGGCCCCAAATGTGGAAGCTGCAGTCAAATGGGACCTGACAGTATAATCTTGTCCATTGCATAGAACATTGCTATTGGGCTGAGCAGCATTTGTACTTGGAGATGGTATGTTGAGGCAGCAGTGGGCAGGGCATATGCTAATACTGACCTGGTAGGACACCTTCCCTTTTTGTAGAGCCAGATGAGCACAGCATCATCCTTCTGACTGAATACAAACTATGGATATGGTAGGCAGGTACAGTTTAAGACTACTTGAGTTAAGACTTCTGAGCTGCTGATAAACATAAGGATTTCATTTCAGTCATATATAACAGTCTTGTTCCTGCATTGGCAATGACCCATGTCTTCATCTTTCATGGATGGTTGGTGGTTAATAAAGTTATCACCATCAATGATTTGATCAACAATAAGGCTTTCAACTTTGCATGTATAACCAAGACTTGGATGAATGACACAGGGGGACCTCAGTTGGTGCATTTTTATCCGGCCAGGCATATGGTCTAACATGAGGCTAAGTAGGACTGAGGAGGTGTGGCTCTACATTTTTCATCTGATTCATTTGACAGTTAGGACGTTTTTCCTAATGTCCAACCTAAACCGCCCTTGCTACAATTTAAGCCCATTACTTCTTGTCCTATCCTCAGAGGTTAAGAAGAACAATTTTTCTCCCTCCTCCTTGTAACAACCTTTTATGTATTTGAAAACTGTTATCATGTCTCAGTCTTCTCTTCTCCAGACTAAACAACCCCAATCAATCTTCCCTCATAGGCAAATGGATATAAACTGGCCGTCGGGAAGTTTAGGCTTGAAATTAGACGAAGGTTTCTAACCATCAGAGGGGTGAAGTTCTGGAACAGCCTTCCGAGGGAAACAGTGGGGGCGAAAGACCTCTCTGGCTTTAAGATTAAGCTTGATAAATTTATGGAGGGGATGGTTTGATGGGATAACGTGATTTTAGTCAATAGGTCAATAACGTGCCATCGCTGGTAATTAGTAACAATGGTCAATGATGGGATATTAAAAGTTACTACAGAGAACATTTTCCGGAGGGTCTGGCTGCAGAATCTTGCCCGCATGCTCGGGGTTCAGCTGATCGCCATATTTGGGGTCGGGAAGGAATTTTCCTCCAGGGTAGATTGGCAGAGGCCCTGGAGGTTTTTCGCCTTCCTCCGCAGCATGGGGCAGGGGTCGCTTGCTGGAGGATTCTCTGCGACTTGAAGTCTTTAAATCATGATTTGGGGACTTCAACAGCTGAGTCAAGGGAGAGAATTATTCCAGGAGTGGGTGAGTCAGCTTTTGTGGCCTGCGTCATGCGGGAGGTCAGACTAGATGATCATAATGGTCCCTTCTGACCTTAAAGTCTATGAGTCTATGAGTCTATGAGGAGGCTGTTGGCAGGTTTTCACCAGGAGTGAGCGTTGGCTCTGGTACTTCCTCCTGCCCCTTCTCCCCACCCTTTTGCCTATGAGAGTAAGGACTTGTTAACCTTCTTTGCATGTTTCAAACCCATCTTCTTCATGGCTGTTTGAGGAGGAAATAAGAACATTGTCATTGTGTGTAAGAGCTATTGTGGATTTATTGTTACAGTGGGCAAATATTATTATGAACCATGTGGGTAGTCAATTTTATTTGACATATGTGTGGTGGAGTTTATAGTTTGTCTGCTTTAAAAATTGGTGGAAGTGCCTAGAGCCAGGGATAAGTGCTTAAATTGTTACTTGAAATAAATAAATACTGTAAATAATTGAAGCTGGCACTTGCAGATAATAATGAGAACTGGCTCAAGGATATAAACTGCTCTTGGTCTTAAAACAGCAGAATCCTTAGCAAAGTTGGTGAAATAAGAGCCCCAAAGAATTTCTTCTTTACAAACTAACTAACATGATTTATGTTTGGTGAATTAAAAGCTTCATCAGATATGACATGGAGACTAACTACTAGGTAATATTTTACTTAACTGTAATTTCTATGTAATAGGAACTGTACTTGTCATTGCAGGTATGGTTACAAAAGTATGGCTACCTTCCACCAACTGACCCCAGCATGTCGGTGTTGCGCTCTGCAGAGACCATGCAATCAGCTATAGCTGCCATGCAGCAGTTCTATGGCATTAATATGACAGGAAAAGTGGACAGGAACACAATTGAGTAAGTAACTGGCACTGAAGTGCTCTCAACTTTTATATTTCAACAAAATGAAGTAGGACTGTAGGAACTTGAAAGCACATGAACTGCAATGACTGGGATATCCAAAGAGTGCAGCAATTTCAAATGGGGAATGAAACTGTCATTTCTTTTTTTCTGCTCTATTTCAGACTGGCCAGTTGGCAAATTTCCACTGTCAGCCCTGCCTTGCCCTCTGCTTTTGAAGTGTGATTAAAAATAAAGGATTGGAGGGTTAACTGTGGGAATGGCTAATAGATAACACAGAAGGAGACGCAGAAGGCAGCTGATAGTGGATAAGAAAAATGTCAGAAAAAGTATCCTGGAGGTCATAAAAATTTCAAGGGGACTCTCCCTTTGGTGGAAAATCTTCAGGGAAGATTCCTTTGTCTTCCTCAATGCAAAAATCTTTCAGCCTGTCAACTGGTACATTCATTTAATGGTTTCCAGTGACATAAACACACATGATCATTTTAATATAAAATAGATTTTTAGTTTTGCAAGCTCTCTGAAATGTTAGTGATGTTGAGCGTATAATGTATGGTTTCACTGCCATTTTGAGTTTTATATCAGTATACACAGCCTAACTCTGTGCAACATCATGATTGAAATTCATGTACAAAGGCATAAAGCAATGTCAAATAAAAAGAATAATAATAAAAGTATAGTAGTGCACGCTTAAGAAAACAAACCTGGAAACTTGTAACAAATGAACTGTTTGCTTGCCTTATCTCTGTTGAAACTTAATGGGGATTTTATTTCTTTTTTTAGATAAGTTATTTTGCTTGACTATCAAGAGAGGAAAAATATAGCACCATGGCAATATATCCACTGGTTATTACATGCAAATGAATCCATATTCCTATTCTAAAATTAACAAAAAGCTTTCTGAAAAGAATTCTTCTCCCTTGTGCCCAGCCCTCCCCCACACCCCTACCCCCCATGTGGCATTTGTTGTTATTCTTTCATGGTAAAATAGCGGACAGGAATGATTTTTTAATCACTTAGCAGTTTAGGAAAGAATCTAGTCTACCTAAGCTCCTGATGCCAAAGAAGGATTGGAAAAATCATTGTATCCCACTAGCACATGCATTATTGCACTGAAAAGCAATAAAGCGAAGCAGTTTTTAGGGCAGCCCTAAGGGGAGGTGAGTGGGTCAGACATCCCTGGACTTACGAATTTAAAAGACCTTGTAACAGATAATGCAGCAGGAAGCGAAACAGAAAGTGTATGCTGCCTTGTGAAATAGCCAGGTTCAGAAGTATGTTTCGGATTCAGCCTCCAGAGTGGTGATTACAGATCAGGTTCCTTGCAGAGCTAAAATGATTGAGCTATGCTGGGAGAGTGCAGCTGCGCCACCTACTATAGGGTTTTTAAAAGCTGCATTAGTGGTGGTTTTGAGGAAGGAAAATAATCTGTTGTGAGTTGGCAGCAAGGGAAGGATAGGAAGTGGCAAACAGGGGAAAGGTAGTGGCCATTCTCTGCTATTGGCTGTCAAGCAGCAGATATAAAGAGCTTCAGTCTGAAAGAAAAATATTTGTACATGCACAAAAATTTCAAACTAAGCTAAATTAAAGTGGGCATGTTAGCTAGAAAATTGGCAAGCCTGTTTTATTTCCGTGCCACATGGGATCCAAGTAAATTTGTCTTACACAGCAATTCCAGTCTTTTGTTTTGTGTTCTCTTGTATACTTGATCATCTGTCTTCCTCAGTGTAGGTAGTAAAGCATGATGTGCTTATTCACACACAGAATTACAGTGTACAGACTCTGGAATATTGTCTTTTTCTCCTAGGCACACGTAAGCCACTTGGGGTGAGTTCTGCATTCACTTACACACATTTCCTTTGACTTCAACTAGGTTGCATGAGAGTAATTTGAAGGCAGAATCTGGCCCATCGGACATTTATATTGAGAGAGGAGCATACACACTGGGCCAAAGCTGGCCCTCAATTACATCCATTTGACCACTGAAATCAATGGAAGCTCTACCTATGTAACTAAGGACAGAATTAGTCCTTTTAAATTATTCAGCTATTGTAATATTTTGGAACTGTCTGATCTTGAGAGAGGAAACACTTTTTTTCCCCAGCTAGAAATATCTGACAATTTTACATTTCTTCCTTTGTGGATAATAAACCTGGTAATAAAAGTTTGGGAACCAACAGACGACACTCACTGTACAAAATAAATACTGCAATGAGGACCTAGTGGAAATAGAGTTTGTTCTCATCTTGTTACACAGGGCTTTATCTGCCTATTTCCCTATCATTGAGAAGAGATTACAGCATACCACTTAGTCATCAGAGGACAAACAATTAAAATAACTTAATGCAGTTTCTTGATAGGAACCAACTTTGGGAATATTAGCAGAGAAATATATGCAGCGACAGCATCATCAGTAGTCTCTTGGGAGGACTTTGTTTTTGTATGAAACAAAATATCCCTTAAGGAATATTTTGGCATACAAAAATATTACAGGTGTTCACCTGTCCCTTTTTACATGCTATTTCCATAATGGCCTTCTTGGTATATTTTGGAATTTGTTTAGCAGGGAGCTTGAGAAACGTGATAACTGTTTTATAGATGGGGCTTGGGAGAAAGAGGTGGAAAAGAAAGAAATCATTGAATGCCAACTGGAAGGAGATTGTATAAACAAAAACATAATCACATTGATAAATCCAGTAAGAACATTGTTTGGCATTTGCATTAGTATTTTACATGATGACATCCATATATTAATAACCACAGTCAACATTTCCTACAAATGATGTTTTCAAAAGTTAACACATTTGATCAGTTTTCTACATTTTCACTTCCCTGAAATAAATCAACAAAAGTCTAATTTACTGTAGTAAGCGATGGCAAAAAGAGTAGCTATGCTATTCTGCAATCATCTGATGTACATTTCTGCCAAAACTGTATTAATTAAAACACAGGTGCTCTAGAATAAGTGCTCTAGTGTAGAGAATTGCCTGCCCCCGTGATAGTATTATAGTTCACAAGTTTCTAAATAGAATGTGATGTTTGACAAAGTTCATGAAAGAAATGTTCTGTAATTGTTTCTTTTCTTTTTTTTTTTAGTCAAATAATGAGCATGCTTCTAGTAATACCCTTTTCAGAAGCTCTCTACAAGCCTGTTTCTGCAGAAACAATTACGATATGGTGGAGTTCCACTTCTACATGGCTTCTGCTGCCTATATATTAATTGTCAGTCTAATACTCAGAAATGATAATGAGCAGAAATTTTGAGCTATTAAATCAAAAACAGTGGTTTGTTTTAGTAGCTGCCATAGCAGTTGATATGAAAACAATGTACGAGGATTAGCCACGCACATTTTCTGAGCTGAAGCCTTAAACTTGGTTCTCTAGACTAGCTGTGGATACGAACTACTACAGAGGCAGCACACTTAGTCCCTGGCATGAAATGGAACATCTTACATCAATCTCCAAAGACTCCCTCTGCCTAACACAAGGAGGGAAGGGAACCACATCCATCTTTGCTGACTAAGGGCCTGATCCAGAGACTGCTGAAGTTAATGGAAAGATTTCCATTCACTAATGGACTTTAAATCAGACTCTTGTGTAAAATGATGTAATGCCATGGTTGGGTGGGAAGGAAAGAAAGGATAAGAGAAGGCAACCCTGAAGAAAAAAACAAAACAAAATACCCTTCAATGGGATCTTTAAATTTTCAACGTTTTTTTTTTTTTTCTGTTGCTGAATCTAATGTTGATCTTTGCAACTTGTTTTGGTAGTCAAGGTTGTTCCTTCTTTAGAAAAATGGTCCAAATCATTCCTCTGTTTCTTTCTGAAAAATATGATACTCACATACTTTTTTGATCTTAAATAGCCTTAACAACTGAGAGCACCTGTTAATAAGGCTGGCCAGAAAACAAGTATTCCATTAGTGAAAATGTTTGAAGTTTTGAAAATTATTTTTATTCCACATCAGAACAAAAATGCAACCTGTCAAAATTGTCCATGAAAAAATGAGAGAGAGAAACAGGGACTCTTTCCCCTCTTGGCAAATGATAGCCAATAGTCCATTGGTTACACACTTACCTGCAAAGTAGGAGACCTGGTGTAAGTCCTGCTGTACCTGATTTGGAACAGGACCTTGAATCAGTGTGTCCCACAGCCCAGTGTCCTAGCCACTAGGTTATAGACTCAGCCTTTTTCAATTTCTTCTGTTTGAACTGTTCCATTTTGTATAAATTAAATATTCATGTGACCAGCACAAGAGAGGCTGATTTTATAGCTTGGTGGTTAGGGAACTCTCTTTGGATATGTGTGATCTAGGTTCAAAACTGTATCTGTGAAAAGTTTTGGTTTTGACAAGTTGGCATTTGCCAACTCAAAGTTTACTCAAAAAGTTGCTGTCCACCCCTACTTGTGAAGTATAGTCTATCTAGTGCTCTGTTTAGCTTGAATAATAATCACAGACATATTCAGTACAAGGTTCTCTAGATTTACAAAGTTAGAGTGGAATTATATGAAATCTGGGGCTGCTCCATGTATTTATTGGGTCGTATTTGGCTCTCATTTACTCTGGATCCACCCCGGTGTAACTTCATTGACTTCAGTGGAGTTCCTCACTGTTTACATTGATGGACCGAGAGCAGAATTTGGTGTGCAGTATCCTGTGGCCAAAGAAAATACTTTAGTCACAAGTGCTGTCAATCTGGCACCCTTCTTAAGTGCTGAATTCACTTAAAATAATACTCTAAAAAAGCTGTTACACAGATGAGTTATACAGGTTAAAATATAAGTGCAAATAATGAACTAAGGGAAAAGATTCCTAGAAAGCCTCTGTTTTGGTAAACAACAGTTATTTCCCTTTTGTTGCTTGAGACAATATTTTATGGTTGAAAGTCCATTTCTGTTTTTATCAACTTACGCTGTTTCCAAACTGACCAGAAATGCAGGGGGTCAATGCGCTTTATAGTTGTCAGTTCGCCTACTGATACAGAGGGGAATTGAGG